GATGACCAGTCATACTGTTTAATAGTATACACCATCACTGGGACCACTGCCCAAAGTGAATGGCATATCGTTTTTCTAGGACAAGCGTTAAGGTTTTTCATACACATATATGCATACGTGTATAATATCGCCATGTCACCAACAGAATTAACGCATGGATACAGGCATATCACTACAGCATGTGTTAGAGTCCCTTTAAAACGTCAGGTCGGGTCGAGCTATCGACAGAATGACGATCAGATATGGTGATGGATGGGTGAATGTGTTGGTTTGATAAAGCCACAAGCACCTGCATAGGTAGCAACTCGGTAGACTAATAACAGGATCGTAAATTGGAGGTGAAACACAATGACAATCATGCACATCTGCATTAAATAATACAACGAATCATGTGTGAACCTGAAATAAATATCATGCAACAACTGAAAATATATTTGCAGTTATTTCAGTTAAATATTCTTATTTCCGAAAAGTCTTGTTAAAGATGTTGACCACGCTATTTCCTTCTCACGCAAACTTCTTAAACTTGTGATCCCGCTTATGCCAAACAAGTATGATCGATTCTCTTCAAGAGATAAATACCAGCTTTAACGAATGAATTCCAAATAGCAATTAAGTCCAAAATTGATTTAAACATATTTATGATTTTTTTCTAACTATAACTTATCTGAACATGCTATCAAACAGGTTTTTCAGTAGGTTCGGTATTATTTTCATTATCTTTTAAAGTACGGTGTAAAAACTCTTTGTAACAATTTCTATGTTAAGTTTAACATGTAACGATGCATTGATGACACAGAAAACGTCACCGTATTTGCAATCTCCTGATGTGATTCACTAGGGGTGTTTCGTTTAAGTATATCAGATTCTAAGGAAAAAGTGTAATCTTGAAAGTCTTAAAACTTTCTGCTTTTTGCAACATCTTCCCCGGAAACTGTTATGACCAACATAACAACTGTCCTACCAGCACCTCCGCTAGCTGTCTAATGAGTTGTCAAATCCGGGATGCAACCTGCATCGGCCAGACTGATAGATATATCAACTACCAAGAACAATTTGTCTTCGCTCACACTCATATACCTAATCTATACCTAGCGGGACGTAGACGGTGCAATGTATGAACATGCCTCATGCGCTTCAATTAATCATCCCTGTACAGACATGTTTGCCTTCTTAATGCAATTTGCAGTCGTGAGATATAGTTTTCGTTTAATCTTTCGACCCATTCAGCAAAAATAAAAGCAAATTAATGGTTTAATTCAACACTTGCAGACACAAACAAATAGTTTCTATACTGATTCCATTTTCATTACGATATGCCAGTTTTTGTCCAACTAAGTTACTTTATTGTCAACTTCATCAGACGTTAGTTAATGTCAACGAAATAAGTTTGTGAGTTTAGGTTTTTTTTGCTGCACTGTTTCGCCACATTTAACACAGGTGCATCACTAAATCCCTTGTTTGATTGAATCCAGACCATCAAAGGAATATAACTATCAATCATTCTTGCACAGTGACATAAACGTAATACCTGTCGAACCACGAACATCCGGAAAACATAAGCATGCACAGTCGAATAAGGTCTCGCTGTATTTTTACTGCCATATCATGCTTACAAGACAAGTATATCCACGTTTTGTATGGTGCTATTAAAAAAATCTATCTCGCCCGTTGGTAATAAAAATGACACTCGCTGAATCGCACTAACGTGTGGCGTTACATCAAATAATATGAAGTAAACAAAACCAAAAATGAAGTATTTAGTGTACAGTGGTCCCTATTTCATTGAATTGTCTACAATATAACTGTATAGTTGGACCTAGTTAATTGTCTTGTCTACAATATAACTGTATAGTTGGACCTAGTTGATTGTCTTGTTAACAATATAACTGTATAGTTGGACCTAGTTGATTGTCTTGTTTACAATATCGCTGTATAGTTGGACCTAGTTAATTGTCTTGTCTACAATATAACTGTATAGTTGGACCTAGTTAATTGTCTTGTTTACAATATAACTGTATAGTTGGACCTAGTTGATTGTCTTGTTAACAATATAACTGTATAGTTGGACCTAGTTGATTGTCTTGTTTACAATATCGCTGTATAGTTGGACCTAGTTAATTGTCTTGTCTACAATATAACTGTATAGTTGGACCTAGTTAATTGTCTTGTTTACAATATAACTGTATAGTTGGACCTAGTTGATTGTCTTGTTAACAATATAACTGTATAGTTGGACCTAGTTGATTGTCTTGTTAACAATATCGCTGTATAGTTGGACCTAGTTAATTGTCTTGTCTACAATATAACTGTATAGTTGGACCTAGTTAATTGTCTTGTTTACAATATAACTGTATAGTTGGACCTAGTTGATTGTCTTGTTAACAATATAACTGTATAGTTGGACCTAGTTGATTGTCTTGTTTACAATATCGCTGTATAGTTGGACCTAGTTAATTGTCTTGTCTACAATATAACTGTATAGTTGGACCTAGTTAATTGTCTTGTTTACAATATAACTGTATAGTTGGACCTAGTTGATTGTCTTGTTAACAATATAACTGTATAGTTGGACCTAGTTGATTGTCTTGTTAACAATATCGCTGTATAGGTGGACCTAGTTAATTGTCTTGTTTACAATATTACTGTATAGTTGGACCTAGTTGATTGTCTTGTTTACAATATCGCTGTATAGTTGGACCTAGTTAATTGTCTTGTCTACAATATAACTGTATAGTTGGACCTAGTTAATTGTCTTGTTAACAATATAACTGTATAGTTGGACCTAGTTGATTGTCTTGTTAACAATATCGCTGTATAGTTGGACCTAGTTGATTGACTTGTTTACAATATTACTGTATAGTTGGACCTAGTTGATTGTCTTGTTAACAATATCGCTGTATAGTTGGGCCTAGTTAATTGTCTTGTCTACAATATAACTGTAAAGTTGGACCTAGTTGATTGTCTTGTTAACAATATCGCTGTATAGGTGGACCTAGTTGATTGACTTGTTTACAATATTACTGTATAGTTGGACCTAGTTAATTGTCTTGTTTACAATATTACTGTATAGTTGGACCTAGTTGAATTTCTGGTTAACAATATTACTGTACAGTGGGACCTAGTTGAGCCAAGGACAGTTGACAACATTAAAAACGGGAAAATGAAATTCCACAGCGGCCTTTATCGTATTTTACTTCTATAAATAGGCTGAATGTACCTTTGTAAAATATAAACATAAAGATGTAGGAATGTGTCAGTGTTAGTGGTTTTGGTAATGTCGCCACCATGTACAGCGTCATAGGCAAACCCATAATCTCTCTGTTTATTAACGAGATTGTTTGCTATTTGTAAGGGAAAAGCTATTAGAAAAGTCAAATGTCAGACCATATTTTGATTTACACGTAGTATCTGAAGACCCAGACGGTGGGTAAAGGTATACATAAATGTCGCGAGAATATTTTGGATGTCTTGCTTGGACCATCATCTTTGATTTGACAGAAGCTATAATGACGTGTATATTCATGTGTACATAAAACAAGGGTATTGGAGCTTAACACCAACACCCTAGGAATAAATAACGTGCACTTAGAAAGATTAACGCTCTTCACACATACACATTCTTTGAGAAAATATCACATTTATATTACCTATTGTGATGCAACACACTGTATATTTCTTTTAGAGTATTTTCATACCATTTCAATATGTATTAATTAATTATGCCACACACTGACAACCCACATCACAGCGTCAACACACAGAGAACATCGCAGCGATAACACACATTGACAACACACACCACAGCGTCAACACACCGAGAACATCGCAGCGATAACACACATTGACAACACACACCGCAGCGTCAACACACCGAAAAAATCGCAGGGATAACACACATTGACAACACACATCACAGCGTCAACAAACCTAGAACATCGCAGCGATAACACACATTGACAACACACATCACAGTGTCAACACACCGAAAACATCGAAGCGATAACACACATTGACAACACACACCGCAGTGTCAACACACCGAAAACATCGCAGCGATAACACACATTGACAACACACACCGCAGCGTCAACACATCGACAACATCGCAGAGATAACACACATTGACAACACACATCACAGCGTCAACAAACCGAGAACATCGCAGCGAAAACACACATTGACAACACACATCACAGAGTCAACAAACCGAGAACATCGCAGCGTATATTAAGTTCACTTATAAGCATAAATTCATAATAGAAATTTACGTAACGAAAGGCGCTTAACAAAATTACTGTAGGTGTTAACTATGAGGGCCTAGCTGGCTTGGCGAAATATGTATTAGCAGGCTTGCGTTCATTCCGGCATTAGCATTGAAAAAAGACTGCTACGTCTTGTGCATCAACAAGATAAAATGTTGTACGCAGTATTCAAATAAGTACACTTATATTTATTAATTGCAAAGAGAAAAGGGGTATTTTATCAATAACGATAAATCACATTATAATTCTGATGCTGAAGATAAGTCTTCATTATCTTAAACTCTATTTAAAATTAAATGAAACTGTAACGCTTGAACGGTTATGTTAACATGTCAACCACCGAAGGTCATATCTTGGCAATGACATGATTTACCGTGAAAGAAAAGGCGTGCTTCATTTTGCCCGTTAACATGCTTCGTCTTGTAGAGCATCAGAAGGTTACTAGTTACCTAACATAGAACGGTTAGCTCTGGTGTTACGTGTGAAGGAAGCTAGGTTTACCTTGTATTACATGTTCACCGGAACAGCCATGCCTATCCTCTGATCTTTGATGTGACTTTTCTGCACTTGAAGCGTTTTATGAACATGTTATAATAAGACATTTTAAATCAAGTATCTAATAAAATGTCGTAGAACCTGTAAAACACATAGCTTGTGAAACCGTCTTTTCTCCTTCTTTTACAATTACTTCTGCATTAATAGACAATTCTTTTGAACCTGTTTTTTTATTTTCAGATTTACTGCTACTGTCAAGAGGTCAGTTTCAAGGTCAAGCACCGGGAAGCGCTGGACTGTTTCGCAATGGAGCAGGACCTCTAGGGGACGGGGCCTCCCCGCCACTATTTAACAACGCTGGCAATGTGGGGCCAAATAGAGATGACGATGTCGCCGATAGCGTCGGTGATGCATCCATTCGAAATCCAATTCCAAAGAACAATATACCCCAAAGCGCACCATCCGGGAGAAGGAGGGGGCCCTTACGGTCCAAGGGTGTGTGTAGGGATGGCTGGAAGCTAGCTGAGATGAACAATGTTCCCATTTGTATATATGTTAATCACAAAGAATTATCTTGGGACGAAGCTAAGGATACCTGTCGACAGGATTTTGGATTCCTTTTAAAAGCAGAGGCTCCTGTATATGTCGACTCTAAAAGCATCGGTGAATATCTCCGTCGACAAGAGATTTTAAATATATGGACCGGCTTGCACGAAGAGGAAGGCACTCTTGTATGGGATGAGCTTGCGCCCCACAAAGTGAGACCGTACAACGAGTAAGAAAACTTTTATTTATCCCATATAAAGATATTTCAACTATGATTACAATGTTTCTAATTTTCATTGGCAATAAACCCTAGATAATCAATATCTTTATTTCAAAGTCTTGTAGATAATAAATAAAAGCAAAGCTAGAAATTCACAAAATACTTGACTAACATCTATAGCTTGAATATTGATAATGCACAAGTTTTATTGCATTACTCTCTACAGTTTCATGGAGTCGAGACTTAAAGCAGACCGCACATGGGACTGGGAGATTGACGACGACACAGAAGACAGTGACGTATGCGGAGATTTGGATCTAAGCAGACTAAAACTACCACTTGAAGAGGAAGTTTTCAGACGTAGACGTAAACGAAGTAACATCAAGGAAGATTTAAAGATTCGTAAACGACGAAATCCTGATGAAAATCATCATCCTGAAATGGCTTTTTCCCAACACATAACAGAAACCCTCACGCAAAGTCCAGTTGAAACGATGTTTCAAAACACAGAAAGACCATCTGAAAGGCCATTCAGACAGTATAGTAGTGACAGAATTAGCGACAACATACCATCAAGTCATTTACCAAATTCTGAAAACACTGAAAACAGCATTAAGCCTTTCCAAGATCTTGCCTTTTTAAAGGAAAATCAACCCAAAGATGGCACACAGACTCCGCAACCAGAACAGCAGCAGCAACAACACAACTTGTATGGTCAAAATTCGGAATGGCATTCTTCAACTGATTTGGGCGAAGGTTTCGGAGAAAGTGTTCCAGATCCAGTGCTTTCTGAAGTAGTAAATGAAACACCAATCCAGGTAACAAAATTACGTAAATTCGATACCGCTAATGAGCAGCAGCAATCGGAAGGGCAAAGCCAAACAAATGCAGAGGCTGGAAATTGGAATTCAAACATAGAAATTACAAGTAATCTGCCACCTGTTTTACCCACCTCTGGCATTATGGAATCTCAAAAGAACCTTGAAGAAATTACTCCTCCACCAAATGAAGATGGGGATAATGATCCAACCGTACCTACAACGGTGGACAATAATGAAATCAATCCGGACATCCCGACTCCAAAACCTCTTGATAGTGTTTTAGATTTTGTTTCCACGGAAAAAGATGCAAACATCGAAATTCCAGAGCAAAAGTCCCAACCGTTTGTTGCAAAAACGAAGAGGCCACTAGAAGAAACTCCAACAAGTCCGGATGTGGAAATGTCACCTACAAAACCTGATACACAAGATGGGATGTTACGGACACTTCCTGTAACGAAGCAACCCATTGTTACGGAAGAGGACGGAAAAGAGAACTCCATTCCACCAATTCCAGAAAATGCTGATCAAGCTATCGATTTAGATCTCCTAAAACATGTTTCAGAGAAATTGCCTTCCCAAACGACACCGTCTATTGAATCAGCATTGAAGAAAGACCTATCACATGGTGATAGCGATACTGATTCCATTGCACCCTCGTTCTCTTTTGTTCCAACTATACCATCATTTGATGACGTTACACCTGCGACGAACGATGTTGATATTCCTTCGACACCTTCAAATTTTGATGATGTAACAACGACAACACTACGAACGACTGAAGTTACAGATCCTACCAAAGACGCCGCGCCAATCACTGGTGCAACGCAGATCAGCATACCAGCCATGGATGATATTAAGACTGCGCCCACTTCCAGGGGGATCCCTTTGAGAGAACCACCGACCACAACTAGCAATGATAGTAGCGAAACTGCTGACGATGAAGCGGCACTCGGGAGGATAGAAACTGTTCAACCAAACGACAAAATTACCACGGCTAAACCAAGTTTCGAGTTCACATCACCAGATGAGTTTATAAACACATTAGGTATCATAGGATCGAACTTGCACAAATCTAACGAATCCGGGGCGTCAAAAACAATCGATGATATTAGTCAATCTTCGGGAACAAGTTCAGAAAACCTTAAAACAACTAAAGGGGATCCAGATGAATCAGTCGACGGTGACAGCTCTTCTACAGGGGAAAACAACTCTTATGATAGTGACAACAAAGACGGTAAAGATTCAGGTTCAGATTCTAGTGACAGTACTTCGAAAGATGGCAGTGATGACAGTTTAGTGGAGAAAACAAAAACAACCTTGAATAAAACAGACGTCAGCCATCATGAAAACAGTCAGGAGCTCGTGAAAAATTTATATTCAAATCACACTGATGGGAAACCTGATGACGATGATTCTATCTCAAACAGTTTAGAAGATGATAGCATCGAAAGTCTTGAAAACACGACAATGGCAGATCTTAGTAAGGATAGCAACGCGACTGATAATAAGGATTCGTCTACTTCAAAAGATTCTTACGATGACAGTAGTGAACTCGACGAAAAAGATTCGGCTGTAAACTCTACTGAAGATGACAGCAATGAAAGCTTTGAAAACACAACCGTAATAGTCGTAAATGATAAAACAAGCAATGAAACTGATACCGATTCCTCTGCTTCAAACGATGATTCTCAAGATGACATATCTACGTCCTCCGACAGTGATGTCAATAGCAACGGAAACGACGATAGTAAAGATGACAGCAATTCGTCAAATAGCACTGATGCCGATAGCTCTGAGGATAAAATGAGAGACAATTCTGTGTCAAATGATGTAAAAGAAAACCAAAGTGATGGCGATGAAAGTTTGGATGTAGATGAAACAGATGATCAACAAAATATTACTAATAACACGTCAGATGATACCAGCAACGAAATAGATAGCAATGAAAAAAGTGGGATATCTGACAATTCGGAGACAAGTGATGATGACGATGTAACACAAAACGTCCTCGGAATACTTTCATCTACACGGAAATCAGAAACAGATGGTGAAAGTAATGATGATGCCAGCATAAAATCAGAATCAAATGATGGTGATGGGAAGGATAACGTCGACAGTGTGGATGTGGTTAGTACCAAAGATAGTGGTGGTGACAGCACAGCATCAGACACAACTACAGTTTCGTCATCAGAAGAGAAAAAGGACAGTAATGAAAGTGCAGAAAGTCGTGATGATAACACAAACGATGAGACTGAAAATAACGTTGATAGCTTTCAGGATGAGGGAGAAGGGAATAGCTCAAACACTGACAGTGAAATTGACAATGATAGTTCGAGCGATGAAAAAACGGAAAATACATCAAAAGATGACACTGAAACTAACGATGGTAGTTCAAGTGATGAAAATAAAGAGAATACATCGAACAATGACAATGAAGTTAACAATGATAGTTCAAGCACCGAAAATAAAGAGAATATTATAAATGATAACAGTAAAGCTAGCGATGATAGTTCGAGTGCTGAAGACTCAGATAACTCTACTGACAGTGGCAATGAAATTGAAGATGGCAATGCAAGTGCTGTAAACTCAGAGGATTCTACTGATAGTGGCGATGTAAGTAAAGATGAGAATTCGAGCGAGGACAAAACAGGGGATGCCATAGACAATGATAAGGAAACAAACGAAAATAATTCAGACGAAGAGAAGGGAACGAACATTTTAAACGTTAACATTGAATCAAATGACGATAGTTCGAGTGCTGAAGTATCAGAAAACTCTATTAACAGTGGCAGTGAATTTGACGATGATAAAGCAAGTGCTGTAAACTCAGAGGATTCTACTGAGCGTGGCGATGAAGCTACCGATGATAATTCAAGCGATGATAACGAAATAGACCCTTTAAACTCTGACAAAGAAAATGATTATGCTGATTCCAGCATTGAGAAGGACGACAAAATTACATCGATACCAATTGATTTGGAATTAATGGAAAGCATACAAGAGGCCGATGAAATGAGTTCTTCAACAATGGAAGATATAGATAGTAGTTCAGATGAAAAAAACGATGATACCAGTGATGATAAAACATCAGATGAAACCAACGATATAATAAGTGATATTTCTGATGACGCAAGTGAATCTTTTGGTGATAGTAATGAAATTGATAGTGTCGTTATACCGACAACGTTAGTTGCAAGAAAACCGAAAGAAGATGATGAAAGCATTGAGAAAAACAGCGAAGAGAGGATTGATGATGAGGAAGACAGCGACGACGTTTCGACACTTGGCGATGATTTACCAATAGGGGATTTTATGACACTGAGGACGTTCGTTGTAGAGGAGGAATCGGATGATAAAGATATTGGCGATGACCTACGCCGTAATTTTGCAGAAAAGGACATAGGACTGAGAATCCATGAACATTTAGATGACGTTGAAGAAATCGAGGAATTTGTACCTCCTGCAGACAAAAGAGAACACATTCCCCACTCAGGTCATCATCACAGCCAACGAAAAACACTTGGCATGAAGTTGTCACAGTGTACTATCCGTAAACCATCTGTCTGTTACAGTCCACCGATTGTCCTGGAGGATACAGGTAAGCATTCTCACCGATCGTCCTGGAGAATACTAGACCGTTACAAACCGAATGGTGGAGTTGTTTTGTTAGTCGTCAACTATACAGTTAATTACAAAATGTACCAACAGTTTCGGCATAAACCGTTTATATGAAACGTTTTTAAATCTAATAATCAACATATACCCTGACTGTTTGTGTAAACTGTTTTCATTAAACATCTAATCTAAATGTTGTTTCACAGAGATCATATGTTTTAGTTAATATACAATTTATCAACTTTTTTTAAATAGTCACTTTTGTTAAGAAAAGGAAAATATGTCAACTTTGTTTTTGGAAACAGTAACATAATGTCCGCTATAACAGACTGAATGATTTTTACTATGATTAAACACGCACTTATTATATGATACATTTGTTGTTTTACAATTGTAGCATCCTCCTGTCCTCCTGGTTGGTATGGCCACATTTTCTCAAAAAAGTGTTACAAAGTGATCGTCTCTAGAATGCCTTTCACTGCTGCAATGGAGCGCTGTACTAACGAAGGAGGAAGACTGGCTGCTATGGGAAACAGTAAATTTAACGCCGATTTGGTGTTGATGAGCATACTGAAGTCGCAAACAGAAGGTTTCGTTGTGGGCAAGTACAACAAATATTGGAATATTTAAAAAGGATACAATGGTTATCTGAAACTATTACAACAAGTATGCAGAGCTTAGTTATCATGGATACGTGGGTAAGGGTATGACTTAAGTACGTATGATAGTTAGGTCATGAATATAGTGTAACATAGATAACTTGAGTGAGGGAGGGAGTATTATAAAAAGAAACAAATTCAATATCACAATAACCATACTTCTTTGTTAAAATGATATTGATACATATATTCAGCTGAATAAATGTTCAAAATTCGTTGTCGAAATTTTGTCTTCATCGGTGTTATTTTTTGTTTATCTAGGGCCATCGAGCACGTTTTGGGTGGAAAGATTACCTTCTACGAGACAGTGCCGGGCTCTGACTGTGAATGGATATATGGAAGCCTCATGTAACAGTCATGCTGAGGTTGTCTGTGAAAGAGACGCGCTGATAAAAGGTTGGAAAATTATTTTTTAATATCTGAACAACTTTTGAACTTTTTATTTTTAGAATTCTATTTCTAAACTAAATTGTAATAGAAATGCTGCAACACAATAATTATTTTGATAGAATCAAAAAGTATATCATGTCAAAAGAGGTTCCTATTAAGAAGCATATACATTTATAAATCACCGTTTCATTCAAAACGCATTTATGAAGGTAGGACATATTTCTCTTAAAGGACAAGAAAATGAAGATGAAGATGATGAAACTGACGATGAAACAGAAGAAAGTGTTGAGAACGAGGAAGATCACGAACCAGAGCGAGTGTATCTTTCATCGAAAAGGGATGATAGTAAACTGACATGCGACCTTACCAATAAAAATAGAGAGTTACCAACTGTTTGGTTCAAAGATGGAAAAATTGTCGACATAAAACTGGAACGAAGATCCCCGAGTCTGATTTCCTTACTTGGTGTAATGGGCAGACCACTAACACCACTTCCAGAACCAGGTAAGTAACCTTTCACAGTTATCGCTTTGGCTTGGTAAACATCACGTTAGCGATCAATATTTATGACGTCGATTGAACGTAAGTTACCCACACATAAAACAATCATGAGCATAATTAGGTGTACATAGCGGGTGTCATCGATGCAGAAGACGCTTATCCTTCTTGAACACATGGGCCTGTTCTCCTTGTTAATGTTCAAAAGTCTCCTGGTAAATCTTTCCTTTGTTTATATTCTGCCCTTGTTTTATTGATTTTCGAATTATGGTTTTGTTGAAACTTCGGTGTTATCTTGATGATTGGTTTATTTCCCTTTTTACATCTACAGACACTATGCATATTGTAATATGAATTATACTTCCAGTGTAAACGACCTCTTCAATGCTTAGGAACAGGAACTTATGTTCTAAACGATTGTGGAAAACAGCTAAATAGTTCATTTAAAAATCACATCTTTTAGGGAAACTGGATTCGTCTTCCAAGTTTGTTTTAACACACTATTGCTTTTACTTCTAGCGTTAACGACTTCTAATGCTTTGGAACTGGGACCAATGTTCCGGAAAACGCTGGAGTATTCCAGCAGTCAGAAACTCACCAACGAAATGTTCCAGGGTACTTACTGGTGTGAAGTGTGGGACATGCATCCCTTTAATCGACGCCGTTCGAGATCCTACTCTGTCAAATATTCTGGTAAGCTATGTAACTTGTATCTTAAGGCGTAAATATCATTCTAGATAATGGATAGAGTTATAACTATAATGACAAGTAAGTAACATCACAAAAAAACTTTACAAGTTGTATATGTCAATTCCTACCGAAAGTTTTCCCTAAATGTTTTTACTCCTGAAGGTTGCATTAAGTAAACAATTTAAAAAATTTAAGTAGAAATGTCAAAATAAGGTATGTGTATAATAGTATCTAAATCAAACCGTATGCAATTCAGAATAACCGCCAACTTAATTCTACTTTAGTAATTGACAATCAAAATAATTCACAATATCATTATTAAGAAAAAATCCTCTAAAAGTTTTTTGACAAAATTTCCGTCGTGTATGCCCAAACATGTGGCTGATGATGATGATTATTGAACAGATGTTATCACATTCCGGGGGACCATTGAGATGCCTGAAATATCCCACAAAGGAATTCTTCTCCACAATATGATCAACCAACAGAATGCCAAGCTGTCCGGTATCATGACAGACGTTAACTTTATCAATGACAATATCCTACCCGTTCTACAACAAAGCATACCTACTGTCCAGAGTGTGGTTACATACGGAGGGAAAATAGAAGAGTAAGCCGCATTTTTTTAATTTTTTATATTTAATGTGATATCACCTCTTCAAACAGCGTTAGCTAGCGCTTGTTGTCAATAACAGTTAATAAATCATCTTTATTATAAACGCAGTTTATAATTATTAACGTAGTTTTGTAGTGGAATAAAAAAACATCATGCTATGTTTATCTTTATGCTAAGATGGTAATTTTAAAAGTTACATTTTACACTAATGATAATATAAATATATTGCTTAATCATCTATGGATGTTACATTATTTCATAGAAAATTGAAAGATAACTGGAACTTCATATACTATTAATGTTCTCGTTTTACGTATAATGTTGCAAATTTATGTATTTTTTGTAGCACGAAGCCATTAAAACTAGGGTACTACATGTTTCTGAAGACAACTGATAATTACACAATGGCGGATGAAAATATGGCGTATTTGGTCCTACGAAAGGAGTTACGAGACACCATGAAAAAAGCAAACATGTTGCTGACACTGCCTGGGAAGACTCCAATCCACATTGTTCGGTCAATTGACCTAACGAGTACAAGTATGTCATTTTTCGCTGACCAGCGGAAAAAATAACATCTCTAGCTTTACTTTGGTAAAATATTACAAACGAAAGCATGCGCAAATAGATAATAATGATAAAATGCGTCTTATATTGTTATATTCGGTGTCATTAATTATACGGCTTCATTGTCTAAAGAAAAATTGAAAAAATGGTTGATTTAAAACTAAACAGGACTGTTGGACAATACTTAAGAATCAATAAACAAATTTGGAAAAACAAATGAAAGTACAAGTGCAAATGTATCAGCTCTTTATCAACTCAAGTCAATGCTTGTTACAATTAGAGATATGGTTATTCATATTTCTTAAACAACATGTTTCAGTTGCCTGCCCGTTGGATCACCTCAAAGATGACGAAACTGGTCTAGTGGCAACCTTTCCCCGATCGTCTATTGACACTGTGGTCAACAGTATTGAAATGTGTGGTACGTACAAACAAAGTTGCATTGCAATTAAATCTTTCACACATATGGCCAATTTGCCTGTTTTAGAATCGACTATTTGTATTATAGTATTTGCCACGTGTTGAATTCGCTCTAACGGGCAAATATAAACAGTCAATTGTCTCCGGTTTACAGTGTGATATTTTATTACGCGTGTTTAAGCAGATAATTAAGATATTTTCAATTTTAATTGACTCTCTTTGCAACTTTTTGTGATATTCTATTTAAAAATAATACTATATTGTTTTTTAATCGTATGCTTTTATTTACTTTCAGAGGGATCTAATGCTGGAAGAGCGTCATGCAAAGGTGACTACTACACAGGCGCCTATTGGACTGACGTCTCTGTTACCAAAACGTGCAACAACGAAAGTCACACACAGTCAGAGGAATCTGAAGAAGAGGAGGAAGAGGAGGAGGGAATATTTGAGAAAATGACACTTGAAGACAGACTAAAAGAACTTGCAGAGGTAGAAAATAAAAACTCTATTCTTCTTTTAATCTTATAATTCGTACATAGTCACATAACTCACAATAGTTTGGTCAGATATGCAATCTGAAATCAACTTATTAGGTCAGGCGAATTTTTATTTAATTTCGAAAAGTGTTGCTACAATGTGGTTATAGACGGATATTTGTCTATGGATTCGATCAGTTACCGTGAATGGCCAGGGCCCGCCAAGCAGATATTTATGCCTTTTGTATCTTTCACTGATTAAGCTGACGACATTGAGGAAATGTTGTCTAGGGCTAATTCAAATCTAATTATTTGAAAACTTGACGAAAGAGAGCGGTTATTGACGATAAATGGAAGTGTTCCAGAATCTTTTTTTCATTTAAATAATTTCGCTTAAAAAACACATATTACTTGTACATAATTAAACTTAAAACGAGGTAAAATTCATTTATAAATAATATTAATTTTCCAAACAATTCAGATGGACATGGAAGATGACAATGTAGAAGGTATAATGGAGGAGACAGCTAGCATTGTCGAGAAGGTAGAAGAGATGACTGCTACTGATATTGATTACATCGCCGAAATCATGGACAAAACGGTCAACGTTCACAAGATCACTAAAGAAGTAAGCTGTATTTCATTCCTGTAAACTCCCAATTTATCACAGAACATCAATGTTAATCATATATTTATGACCAAGTACAAAGAGCTACCTACTAATTTCACTTTTGCCACCATGTATCAACTACTTACTGTCAACTGTTAACGCATCACTATTTTCATAATTTGGAAATGCTTTATCATGATTAAGAATAAATACTCTGGATCACAAGTGTGTTGCATCCCCATTTTTGTCGATGTAGCCGTTGATGTTCATTCATACGTGCTATTTTCACTGAGACAAAAAACTGAAATCCGTCTATTTGCATTTGTATTTGAGACGTTAGATTTTGTGTTTGATTTCACAATATTGTTTAAGCAAATTGACAACTAACAAAATCAATTAAATTATACAATTCAAGCTTTTTATTTTTATTTTATTACAGATCGGTATGAATGTAATGAAAACAATGGATAAAGTTATGAACATCGACGAAGACGAGCTCGAGAAGGCTAATGAAGTTTCTCAAGCGTCCAACAGGTAAATTTATGATGCTTTTGATAATTCTACACAAATAATATTAAAATTTTCTAAAGATTGAGTTCGTGTTGAACATTGATATAAACACAACGTTAATGGTACTACATAGGACCAAGTTAAAATATTTTATTGCTTTTATCACTATTATTAAATACTTGTTTGAGTAGTTTTCTACGGAGTAATACATGTAGATCACATCTTGTGACGAATTTACCAAATAATAGTTGTTCGTAATTTGAGTGTTTGAAAACAGAAATAAATGGCAATAAATAAGAAAAGTACAGAACTGCAGGGGTCGAACTTGGATTTTTTCAATTATTGATCTAGCTTTTTCGGAATTATATATGCAAATAATCATTATAATAAGAGATTAACACCTTTACAAGGAAAGTTATTCTAAGCCAGCAAAACTCGTTTGGTTGCTTCATCGCCTATATGAAAAAAGAAATTTCTTCATGTCGACAAAACAGCTCTAAGGTGGAATGCTTCATCTTGATCATAACTACTGCAGTGGTACTTTTTTTCCCTGAAGGGTTGTTGCGTTATCATTATTTTTCATTGTTTAGGAATAATTATTTCACAATAAGCAACGCTTAGATTTTGTTTCGAAATATGAAGAAGTGTTTATTTAAATGTGTATTTTTGTGTTATTTCAGAATTCTTAAAAGTTTCGAGAAGGTCGCCGAAAATATTGACTTGGAGGATGACGGTAAGCTCCGTATCGTTAAGCCTAATGTGGCCATGGAGGTATGGAACCTTAACCAGATCAAGGTCCCTATCATAGGGTTGGCGGCACGTCAAGGCAAGGCTGGAAGGTTAGACGAGGCTTTCAACGAAGATAGAATCTTCACTCTTTACAATCAATCGCAACTGTACGGAGACATTGATGCAGCCATTGAATTGCCTCCCGAACTCATCACCTCGGCAATGGTTGATGGAAAAGGTAGATACATTTGTAGGAATAACTCGAAAAATCGGAACGTCTTTCACACAATTGTCATAGCTTTTTTCTTCAGATGATACTCAATATAATTCCAATGTGTTGAGATAGCCTTCTTGATAATGCATGAACGATTTATTTACCGTGAAAGTATTAACTTTTTATTGAACTTTTATTTCTGAATTTTGTGTCTTGTAGTAAAAATTCTAGTTATAGCATCACCTTCACATTTCACCATATTTACTCCTATGGCCAGGTATAAAAGACGATACAAGACTATACATGATGGTATACAGAGATGGGAGGCTGTTCCGGGGAAATTCAAAAGCAGCTGACAAAATTGACGTCACAAGAGATCTACGTCTTGGGATTTTGAACAGTTACATCATTTCCGCCAGTATTAGCGGTCGAGAAGTCAAAGGACTGAAACATAAAGTAAAAACGGTCTTCAAACCACTACAGGTGATTACTCTAAACATATAAACAAAATGTTATCCAAATATATGGTTAAAACTAAATGTTTTTAATTTCATACAATTGATTTATTGCAAATTACCATATTGTTTGACATTGGAGTCGAATTCTTGACAACATATATTTATAGATGTTTATTAATTTCATGATTAAACATTGCATTTGTATAACGTAATCTAATGTGTACTAATGCTATTATTCTCTTATTATTCTTAAGTGAAAGGAAATATTATATAAAAATCTTTTACTAAATTATTTTGTCTGATAATACATTACAGTCACCAGCAAACGATGAGCGTAAATGTGCCTTTTGGGACTTTGACATGAATTACAAAGAAGGCGGTTGGTCAACTGCCGGCTGCGTATATAACGGTCAAGTCAATGGACGAGACATTTGTTTGTGTGACCACCTTACCAACTTCGCTGTTTTAATTGTGAGTAAATCTTGTTCAACTTAGGCGTTAGTGATGTTTATGTGAATCAAACATGAAAAGTCCTGACCAAATACATATTTTAATATGTCGCAAATTTTATAGCAGTAGTGAAATTTATTCATGATACATAAAATAAATAATTTAATTCAATTAAGACAAGGAATTATGAATTTCCATACGACATAAATTAACGCTTTCCTTATTATTGTATACGTTCATGACAGTATGAACTTATGAAATTGCATAAGTGTTGATTTTTAAACCTTGATATTAAATCTCCGTCAATGCTTTATTGGGGAGAATTATAATGATAACATGATATAACTTTTGACGAATAGCTCATTCTTTTTCAACTTTATGTAAATTTGTCATGAAATAAAGATGAATTTTGCAAAATCGTTTTCATATGTTGGACTAAACGTTTCTGTTAATGAAATGATTTTACTTTTTCAGGATTTCTATGGGCAGGCCGAACCAGTTGATCGTGATCATGAATTTTCCCTGAGCATTATCTCCCTTATCGGACTCAGTTTGTCAATCCTGGGGTTATCGCTTACCATCATATCCTACGTGTTTTTTCGGTAATATACTTTTGTTCATGCTTTAGTTACTTAAAAAAAAACATTTATATCTGCAATTTTTTTTTACTGAAATTTTATATACCAAATGATCACAGATATCATTAAATAATAATAAATAAAATGATTAAGGTATGAAAGTATTTCAAATTTTAGACAAAAGTATTTGCAGTAAGTTATATACCCTTAACAAACAATGCATGCATGTATCACGCTCGTGTACTTAGGAATATCAGCTAATATGAATTGAACATTTTTTAAGGAAAAGTACGGAACACAAATTTCTCAATTAGTGTTTAACGAAGAACCTATCAATTAAAGATGATTTTCAAAAGCATTTGGATAAGTCACGTAATAAGATACATTTCATGAGCACCTTTTATCTTTTACCTTCTGTGATTTTTGTGTTTTTGATGATGTCTTTTCTGTTGGTTTGATATATCCTCGGTTTCTGTTGTCATCTTAATGATCGAGTTCCAATTTTGTTCTTCTGTTTTGATACTATACTGACAGACTCATGAATTTGTTCCACAGAAAACTCCGACAAGGTCGTGCTCAACAGACTCTGTTCAACCTTGCCCTTGCAATGCTGTGTTCGTGGGTGGTGTTCCTGACCGGTATCAGACAGACGCATAACTACATTGGATGTATCATCGTTGCCGTTCTCCTCCACTATTTCATATTGTCATCGTTTATGTGGATGTTGATGGAGGCATTTCTCCAGTATCTGACATTCGTCAAAGTCCTCGGGACATACGTCACCAGGTATACCCTGAAGACCGTGGTCATCGCTTGGGGTACGTGACAGTATTCTTAAAAAGGTTTAATGCTAAAACATTTCAAACATATTTTTTCAGAATTTGAAACAGAATTCAATCCCATGCATTATCACAACTGTACTTCTTAGCTATACTTTTCTAACACATGCAAAATCGGATATTCCAACGACGGGAAGACAAGATAAACTCCTCGTCATTACCTGTCGTCTGCTCTGATCAAGCAGTCGTTCTTGTGTGTTTTAAATATTTTGATGAAAAGCGGAGTATCAATGCGTAAGGGGCGAATTAATTTGAAATTAATTAGTGTGTACATTTAGAATTGCATAAAGTAAAAAAAAAAAAACAGACTTGCTGAAGATTTGAGTTCCCATTATGCTAAAGTTATCAAAAAACATTATCGTTTGTTGTTGTAACTTATTTACTTACAGAACAAAATTATATAAATGTGGGTAGAATTTTACCGAGTAATTTAGTGGCGTAACAGCTTTATCTTATGACTATAAAATATTGTATTCTCTGGTATTATTATACGACCTTTTACTTACACAAGTCCATAACTGATGCCTCCGGCCCTAAGACTTTACCAGGATTGTCAAATCATTAACATACACTGTACACATAATTGTATTATACCCAAGAAATAATATAAAAAGAGGACAAAAAGAGATTTGTTTCCATATCTGTTTTCCATATTTTCCCATATTGCTCATTCTGATAATCTGAGTGATTGCATGTTTGTATATTTAGTTATATGCAATCTATGATGACTGACAACTATATTATTTCAAGTGGGTTAATTCAAAAAGTTTAACGACGAACTTCACACAGAAGAAAAATGAATACACTATATGAGTTCGATTTTTTGTTTCTCTCGTCAGACCAAAAATAAAAGACGAAGCAACTTAACGTCACTTACGTTTATTCCGCAATGTTATATTATTGAAAAAATACACGTTGCACGTTCTTAGATCACCTTACCCGTTTATGGGGAAAACAGTATATTCGTATTATGGGTTATTTTCCATTCGATTAAATACGGGAGACATTTTTGATCGCTTGCTAACTGTTTTATGATATTTGCTGCGTTTTATTACAGGACTGCCCCTGGTACCTATTATAATAGTATTGAGTCTTGACCCCGACCTCTACCGTGGAGGTGACAGATAGTATGTATTTTATAGCAAATTGGTTATGGTATATTGGAGGTGATGGATTATGGGTGGTGGTCTAAATATTTTACCTGTCAATATTTGCATAACGCTTAATCATGAACCTTGTTGGAGTAAGAACAAAGAACTGGCACGAAAAGAATGGTGTCTGTAGTTTGCCATTTACTAGTAACGGTATAATCATTTTCATTATTTTATTAAGCAACATTTTGTTATAATTCTAATTATCAAAGTGTAAGAAAAGCAGTAAAAGGCTACAAAGCCGGATGGTCACAAATATATATTGTGGTGACTATTTTTGGTAAATCTGGGGTCTTACTTGTTCCATGGAAGACAATAGGATTTAAATTCCAAAAATGGAAATATAATTTTGGATTTACGAAAAAAAAGAATCTGCTTTTAAGCACTGGTCCTTGGAAATGACGGTGAGCATTGAGACCTTTCGGATTATGATGGGTTACAATGGGGGAACAAAATCACAAATGGCCTCTTTTTGAACAAACTATATTTGTGTACTAGTTTCGTCGGTCATTTCTATTTTTTGTAGCTTTTTTATTATAAAACACTTCAAAAATTGATAAGAAAGTGTACAAATAAATGGCACGTAGCTTTAACTGCATGGGATATGGAGATTGTAGGTTATAACATTAAAAATTATACAAATTATCAAGTCTAACCGTAATGGCACTTGTGAAAACGTTCAATTTCAATACCGATAATAGAACAAACTGTCACATTTAAAATCTATTCTCAAAATTTATTTTGACATGTCTTTGAAATGTTCATAACTAATGTAATATCATCATGACAAATTACATTAAATTTCATAAAATTTCCTAATGTACACTTAGAAATATAGAATAATATTCTAATTGTTAATTCTATTCAACACATTTTGTTAATTTTGTGCAAAGTGTCATTTAAAATAATAAAAACAACATGTTTATGCGTCTTTTTAGTCCGTACTCTATTTCAATCCGCCAATTATGCAAAATAATATAGCGGTATTATTACTTTCTCTAATTGATATTGTATTTTCTACTTCAGCTGCTGGATGTCTTTAGATGCGTTCTACTATGCCTTTGCACTGCCTATCGGTGTTATAATTCTGTGTAACCTGGTAGTGTTCATACTTACCGTCACCAGTATATGTCGGCGACCGACAGGATTACGAAGCAACCAGTCAAAACAGAAAATTGCCATAACTAATTTACAGGCCGCCATCACAAGCTTTGTATTGCTTGGTAAGTTTTATTTATAGAAGTCTTGACATATAACATCAATATCTAATATAGAAACGAATTCAGGAGATGCTTATTTCCTTGTTATTTGGCGAGGAAGAGGGGAGAATCGATTGAAATTTTGAAGAAATCGCATTTCATTGAGGGATAGTAAATTATACAACACGTTACTTTCCCTTTGCGGATCGTAAAAGAGGGACTTCGAGATCACGCAGTGTATATTTTTTACTAGTAATTCTGGAGTTGTCAATCTATATAGCAATCAAGCGTTTTTTTCAATGTTAGTTTTGTAAAAACCTTGGTATTACATTAATACGTTTTCTATTTTATTTCTGCAGGTTTAACGTGGCTGTTGGGCTACCTTGCTATCGCAGATGCCCGAGTGGTCTTCCAGTATGCTTTCACCATCCTCAACTCTTTACAAGGATTCTTTATTTTCGTCTTGTTTGTCGCCCGGAAGAAGCAAGTGCGAGACCAATGGCTGATTTTATGCTGCTGCAAAGATCCCAAAATGGAAAAGGCATCCAGGTCTCTATCAGCCTCGGCTTCGATTCCTAGTACATGTAGCGGAAGAAGCTCGAGCAGCTACAGCGGAAGGAGTGAAAGGTCTGACTCTACGCGAACGACAAGTAGTTTCGTCAATAATGACTATGAGACGATATACACCGTTCCGTATACGAAGCATTCCCGAGAGTCCCTGTACTACCGAAAAGTTTAACATTGATATTGAACGTTTCTGAAACAGTATAACAGGCATTGCTGTATACCTAAATGCGACATTATGGCGGTTTATTTACATACAAATGCATGAGACGGTATCATTTTCGCTTTTGCAGTTAGCAAATACTCCTGCTACGGTTGGTAAAGGATACATTTTCTGTGTATACGAGTTGTAGTAAACAGATGGATGGAACCAGCATCCCACCTGCCACCCTGTCACCTAATTTAAATTATACCACCCTCTGCCACCTAATTTGAACAATAACGTCAGATCTATAGATAGTTTGGTACGTCATTGGTGGTATTATCTAAATTAGGTGGCAATGTGGCAGGTAGGATGCTGGTTCCATATGTTTATTACTACTTATACGATACACATTTATTATCAAAACGTTGCATATTTTATTACATATATTACATTAAAAATACACTGTACACATGAAGCACTCGTGCGTGCGATGTCAAAAAATTAAAAGTACCGTTTAAGTCACAACAAAAGTGAAAATTCAAAGTAATAGTACAATAAAAGAGACGACTCAAATAAGGTCACTTTAACCTTGAGACCATCTGTTGCCCCAAAAACAAAATGACAAAATCATCACGACATGTAATATGTTTACAGTAAACAGAATCTCAAATGAAAGGGCGCGATCGATATAGGTCGAATGTATTCGGAAAGATGCAATAGCGAAACTAGTACAATTTACAGTGCATGTCTGATTGTGTTATTGAACCACAATTAACTATGGAATTCATATTAATGTATTTGCATACTTGAGTTGTGTCTTGCATTATTCTCTCGCATTGGTGTTGATAATTAAAGGTTTGCAAAGATGTAGCCATTATTATATTCAAGGTGACCCGGTACAAAAGTCTCATAACATTCTTGTTTGTAAATTGTCTCGTTTAACTTACGTTGTCAAAGGCTATACGTGTTGTTGAAACACTGTGTAGTGTTATTTATTAATGTTATATAAAGCTGTATATTATTATTTCATAAATTGAGGTATCGTTATTAATATTCAAACTATATATTTTGTAACCACGAAATGAACTTTATTAAGTATTACTGGTAGTTATCGAGTCATGTTTAAATAGCATTGTGTATAATATTTTCATGATTCATGTGATACAAAATTCATTGTTCATCGTGACTACCTTTTAATATGGTTTGCATCACAGAAATAAGGAAATGAAATGTTTAATGTGATAAGTAATATTATTCTACTCGCTGGTCCCTATGGTGTAATATTGTTTAACCTAGTTATGTATGAATGTTGGTTAATTATTTATGTTGTATAATCTTATGTCTCCTATGTCGTCTAATGAACGTCTGATCCAAAAGTCTATTATATTGCCTCACCACTCGGATACTTTGTTTAAAAGAAGAAGTTTTTCCAGGAGTAAAGGGTAATACTGATCACTTACAATCGCGAAAAACTGATGTTTCACTCAGAGAGTTATATCGAACATGAAGAAGTCAGAAAGAGTTTACCTGGCTTTGAGTTATTCCTCCTGTCAAGTTTTCAAATACTTTGCAGTCCACAAATTGGACACTCATTTTAATACAGTGCATATTTATAATCCTTGCTTTGCAACATTGGCAAAGATAAGGCTGTTTAATGTGACGGAAATTTCATTTGTAAAGGACAAAACAATTTTATTCACATTAGTGACAATGGTAAAACTATATTTTAACTTATTTGATACCTTTTACCTTAACTCGTTTTTCTTTGGATATCATGATATAGGTCTCAAAATGAATATAAACGTTAAGCAACTCATCTTAACGTCAAAATGTCATGCAAAAGAACAAATTACTAATCTGTTGATGTGGTCTGAGTATATTGTAAACAAAACCCGGAAAAGAATGTGATTGGAATTTATTCGAATCGGTATTGTGTTTAGTATGACATGAAAATTAAGTGCTATTTAATTCCTTTATGGATATTTTACAATTTAATTAACAGATATATCACTAAACATTATACAAAGGCTTCACTGTTATACAACGTGTATGATATACAAACGTTTAATGTCAGTAAAACGTATATGTATAGCTGTAATACAGTTCTTTGAATTCATTATATATGTCTCAAGTCACGTCCAGGTTGAAGACTATGTTGTAGACGTAATATTCAAGAAACTTTGAAGGTATCATTGATCGTTTATTCCGTCTTTGCGTATTGCACAGTTATCTTCTCTTGTGAGCAGGTATTGATTGTTACGTCATTGGTTTGTGAGAGGTACGTCATCAATTTTTGAGAAAACGACGTATTTTTTTCACACAAACCAATGACGTAACAATCAATCCCTGCTCACAAGAGAAGATAACTCTGCAATACGCAAAGACGGAATTATCACTGTATTTGGTAATCTATCCATAGGTAGAACGCTTTTCAACCGTTTGTGTCATATGGCATGCATATTATACACTAGGCAAATGTCATGCCATTCATGAATAGATGTTTTTGGTTTTCGGTTCTTATTTCAGATAATATGCAAAGTTGAATAACAGAAATAAAAGGCAGAAAATATGATAAATGTCAATTTTCACAAAAACACTTAACAACCTGTAAAATTGTCTCATTGTAATATGCAAATGTTGTTCATTAGTTGAACTCAAATTTCAAAGTGCTAGACAAGAACGCAATGATAACACTATGTTAACAGGTAATAATGAGTGATTAGATAATGTTATATTGTTGATTCTAGGTTTCATCATAAAAAAATAAGATAAATATTGTAAGATTCCTACACTTCAAATTAACTTTAATACACTATAGTATATACAACCATATTGTTATTAGTGTTATTTCTCATACAAAAAAGATATGTTCATCATTATGGAGAGCTTTTTAAATGTACGTATACAAGTATACTTATGTTGTCATTATACAGTCATTGTCATTGTCTTAGATGCAATGTGTTCAATGTAATAAACAATTTCATCAAAGTTTTCGTGTGCATGATATTATTTATTGGTATATGTATAAAATTTTCATTGAGAGGGGAGATTGAGATCAAATTAAATATTGCACGGGTCTGAACACCCAAATTACAATATTTCGCAATCACCTGTCAAGGACTACATAGTAATCCATGGGAGATGACCGGGTTATTCCGAACGCTTCCATTAGAGTTACCCTATCACAGGCAATACTTTACGGACAAGCAGTAGTCATGTATGTTCAAAACGATGAATAAACAAGAAAAGATGCTACACAAGACAACATTAACACATTCAATCAAGGAGGTTTGAGGAGTACTGTGAAGTTATATATTTAAATATTATATCTCAACTGTCGTCCAAGAAGAAATGGTCTATGTGGTGTAGTGTACAGTACAGTGACTTAATACTTTCATGGTCGTTATATCTCTACTTTATTTTATAATAACTTTATACAATTATGGTCTTCAGGTGAGGTCTATCCCTGATTTACGGACCTGGTCTGAACAATATTCACAGAGGCCGAAGGCCGAGGTGAATATTGTTCAGACCAGGTCCGTTAATCAGGGATAGACCGAAACTGAAGTCCACAATTGTTTTATTATATGACATTTTACAATAAGATTAATACTTTTTCATGTCATAAACACATGGACGGCATGGACCATTTTGGAATCACAGAGTAAAGGACTTCAAATACAAAATAGCATACACAAAAATTGAATTTCAGATTCAATTCATGTGATATTTAATTTCAAGTAAATATTATTTGAACAATAATTTGAACTATAGTTGAATTCAGTAGTGTGAATGGTAACAGATTTAAAGACTGTCTGGGAAATTACCACGGACTGTTTTTAGTAGCGGTCTGTAACACTTTTCTATATATAGGTCGAGGTTTGTAACACTTTTCTATTTATAGAACGAGGTCTGTAACATATTTACAGACTCGTCACGTGACGTCGCTCCTCCAATCAGGGCTGGGAATTAGCACCAGTCATATAATAAAACATCTTACAGACTTTTAGCATCAGTCATATTATAAAACATCTTACAGACTTTTGGGGTTAACGTGTCACAGTTGATTCGTTATCAAAGGGTCCGTTTAATATATTACAGCCGGAAATAATGTTTCCCCTCTTTTCTATCCGTGAAGACTTTATACAATCCTAATATTTCTTCTTCGTCAACAACTTGAAAGCAAAAGCGATAACTGTCCTGAATTTGTGAGGGTTGTTTTTTATAAGCAGTTTGTATACTTTGCAAGTAGAAGTTTATTAATTAACTTTCATTATATCAGAAATATTAATAATGTTGGACCAGTTGCAACACATTTCTTGTATGAGCATGATAGCTGAGATATAATCAAGTAGATAGCACGTTAGTTTGAATGTTTAGATTTTTTTTCCTTTTGGCGACGTTAGAAACGTAGGTGTCATACATGAAAGATGGCAACCTCTGTAAATAGGACTGAGGTCACAATTAAATGCTTCCGGGTTCAGTACCCTACCCACGAATGAAGTCCCTTAGAAATATAGGTACTTAAGTAAAAAAAAATGTACTATGCCTCTTAGAACATGGTGTTTGTGTAAAAGTTTGGTGTTAAAATACTGTGGAGATATCAATCTAACAATTTCTGTGTCAAATTTTTATATTGTGCATTAATGTTTTGTGCAGGGTGCTGTGTGAAAAGTCCTGTGTTTACCTCTACCCCTGACCCGGAAGTTTATTTTTGACATTGGTGACACATGTAGACGATTATCTCAAAAAATAGGCCAACATGCTATGTTGAAATTTTGATATTTTACTCCCAAGATGTTGCTCTTGACCAGGTTAGATGGAAAGTTGGCTATCGGATATTGGGAATTTGTTATGAAATTAAATGTTACAATGAAACATATAGTAAAATTAATTGTGGTCTTAGTCCTATATGGGGCATTAAGAATATCCGGTGTTCTGTACTCAAGTGTGTCATGCTGTACACTTCAGGTGCGATTTAATTAATTGCTGAAGGCCAGTCGTAAGCAGGACTATGCGGTATGGGCAGGGACGAGGTTGTTTGGATGATTGTACGAGTTTTGTCAATTGGTAAACAATTGCTTGTCTATCATACTGGGCTAATACAAATCTTACTGCAAGTGAATAGCGTTGATTTGATAATATCGAATGATTACACGAAAAGTAGAAATGTGTTTCTTTGTCACAACGCGAGTTCTCGATGTGAGGACGCGCCATTACTTAAATTGACTCCAACAAAGAATGTACGAATCCGCATTCCCCTTGATGTTCCAGGGTCTAATTGTGTGTAGGTATGAATGATAACGAACTAATTATTCATCAATACCAAAAAGGCATGCAGAATCAAATTGTGTTTCAATGTTTAAATGGTTGGTACCAACTGGTTTAAGGGGCATGCTACACTTGTATTCAGCACTGGGTACATATTTTGTTAACACTGGTGAAGTCCGAAAGAAACTGAGATAAAGTTCATATATGTTAAAAATTGCATGAACAAAAATAACATACCACAATGTAGCCATATTACTTACAAGACATTATGTGTTTCTAAAAACCGATTCGTGGTAGATTATCAGAAAATATTGATCAGTGAAAAGACAGTTATTCTATAATACACTACCTAGTCAGAAGACAGTTATAAGATGAAATGGTAGATTAAGAAAAGCCAAGGTAATCTCTTTCACGAACAAAACGGTTGGACAAAATCAATAACAGCTGCACATTCATTCGGTATTTCACATCAACGCACAATGTTAAGTCTTAATGAAGAATGTTTGATATCAGTGTCTATGGATAAAGTGTAACTTGTCAAAACAAATTAGACCTGTTTTATTAGGAAAATCTATAAAAGCTAGAACTTGATCCATATTACACAGCACAGTAATGTAGATAAAGTTATATACAAGTCACGTCACCTTACTTATCAGCTTTTGACATTTCTCACATGTGGTCTCCGTGGCGCAATCTATAGGTTATATACAAGTCACGTAGATGTAATATTTTATCAGTAGGTAAGCCACTGACATTTCACTCATGTCGTCTCCGTGGCGCAATTGGTTAGCGCGTTCGGCTGTTAACCGAAAGGTTGGTGGTTCAAGCCCACCCGGGGACGCTTGTTCCTTTTATTATCATATATATCGTTTTGATTAATGGAGCTTTGAATCTGAATGAAATATCCACCTAATTTTTTGTTATAATTTCAAACAGTTTTAATCTTTTATATAAGAACAATATTTTAAAGGTTACTCATTAACAAAAGAAATACGAAGAGGTACAATGTAAATGCATACATTGCATATCAATGCGTTATCTTAAACTTGATTGATAATATGTAAAGCGATATAGCCGTCACGTCAGCTAATTTAACCAGCAGGTTAGCCATTAAATTTTACTCATGTCGTCTCCGTGGCGTAGCAGGTTAGCGCGTTCGGCCGTTTACCGAAAGGTTGGTGGGTCAAGCCCACCCGGGGACTTTCCGTTTTATATATTATTGTTTGTATCATACATTTGCATTGATAGTGCGATGATAAAAGGATTATGTAAAATATCAAGATCTGAACGTCACTTTCCAAAATCCACATAACCACATTTTTACCTGAACAAAAGTCAAAAATTGATAAATAATATGTCATCATGTCAAAAACGCGTTTTCTTAACAATGTCATTCCGGACTATTTGGTAGCCACATGTTAATTTTTGTAGTGGTTTTGTTGTTATCTTTTATGTACGCTTAGCTTATCTGTTCATAAAAAACATCGATCCATCATCTCATTTTGTAAGATTCAAGTGGAAGAATTAAGGTAATAAGTGAAATCAATATATAAAGGGTGCAGTAGTCTAGAGGAGAACCATGTCGAGTGTTGTCAAGCTGCGAATTTTTTTTAATGGTATTTAACGTTTTTGCTAGATATACGATTTTGCCTTCATCTTCATCAATTTCTAGGCGTAAATCTAGAAATACTGTGAGAGAGGTGGAGGTTTGCATGTGGAAAATTAATTATCAAATCAAAGCCCTCGAACAAACGGCGAGAACAACATTTGCTTTATCTTGAATATATGTATGTATATTAATTATGTAATACATGCTATTTCCGTGCAATATTGCCGTTCAATAATAACGATATAGCACACGTACAATAAACATGCAAATGAGTCTTGTCACCGTAGGAAACAGGTCATATTCCTACGCACTACAACTTCTTCGTTTGTAAACAAAATGGCTGACCGAGTTACTGTTTGCATTGATAGCAGAGGCAGGGGCACTGGGAGAA